AATTCTGAAGGCTTTTTTCCCCTCATAATGTTCTACCAAGGACCAGGGAAAGAGATAAAATGAATGCTCCCAAACCTGTTTTCATGACCAAGTTTATGCTCAATCACCTTATCAAGATAATTGTCTCAACATGAGTTGTTGCTCCAAGAAAGAGATACTGACTTCAGCTTCGACTACTCCAAATTCTGCTAATACAATGGAGTTAGCCACTTTGGACACAACACAACATATATGGCACAAAGTAAAGTCAAGCTGATTTGGGCTTAAATGTTCCTAATATGCTGCCATGGTAGGGTTATACTGCTCATGAACATGTCTTTTTAAAACTACATGCTTATTTCTCAGTCGTCATTTGCAAACAACAAAATTTGGTTAAATCTTTAGATTAGGTCTTTGGTTTTAAAACTACATGATAAAAATGTTTTTTTTTTTAGAGGCTGATGATATGGCTCAGTGGATAAAGACACTTATCACCAAGCCTGATGATTTGTGTTCAATTCTCAACCTCTACATGGTAGAGAGAACAGACCTCCACACGCATTTTCTGCAAGCACATACAAAGTTAATAAGTAACTGTAAAAAACTAAAATAAAAGATTTTCCTAGGATTTAAGTTGGTAAGTATAACCCATTTAGCATTACATATAAATATCTTAGATATGCAATGTCTATATGTTTGTATGTAAATACCTATAGAGATATATATTGTCTATAAAATAAAATCATATTTTCTAAGGTTTTAAATGTCTATGAGATTACATTTACAGTTTGATGCAAAATAAAAAGAAAATTAACAGCAGTAATAGAATACAGAATTAAAAAAATATTTTTTGGCTTTGCCTACTGTAACACCAGTGCCTAATACATAAGATATAGCAGGCATGCAATAAAATTTACTAAGTTATAAATGGGAAGTATTTCTGAGTAAAAATTATGTGCCTAGCACTATTATAATGGTTTACACCTACTATTTTATTTAACTATAATGTTTAAAAAAAACTGGTATTTTCAGCCAGATGTAGTACGCTGCACACCTTTAGTCCCAGCACTTAGGAGGCAGAAGCAGGCAGATCTCTGTGAGTTCAAGGATAGCCTGGTCTACAAAACGAGTTCCAGGAGAGCCAGGGCTATCACACAGAGAAACTATGGGAAAAAGGGGGTATTATAATCCTCATTTAAAGCAGAGTAGTATGGCACATAATGGTTAACTTACTTGTCCAAAATCATATTGACAGTATTAGTGTAATGATACAAATATGAGACCTGAACATTAAGACAAAAACTTTAACACAGCACTATTATGCCAAATAAATAAGCAAACAAACATTTGAAATCTGCCTGACTTACTTTACAGTGTCCTGGAACTAGCTCTTGTAGACCAGGCTGGCCTCGAACTCACAGAGATCTGCCTGCCTCTGCCTCCTGAGTGCTGGGATTAAAGGTGTATGCCACCAACTTCCCAGTTGACTTTATACTGTATTTTCAAAGGGTTTTCAAAGTTGACATGAATACATGTCAACTGATCTGGAGAGTTGCTTCAGCAGTCAAGAGCACTTGTTGCTCTTACAGAGGACCCAGGTTTGATGGAGGAGGGTCAAGGACCCAGGTTTGATGGAGGAGGGTCATCTGTCTGTGTTACTTTCATTGGTTAATAAAGAGACTGCCTTGGACTTTTAATAGGGCAGAAAATTAGGTGGGTGAAGTAGACAGAACAGAATGCTGGGAAGAAGGCAATGAGGCAGACGCCTCAGGCAGTCGCCATGCCTCTCTTCTCTGAGACAGATGCAGGTTAAGATCTTTCCCAGTAAGCCACCACCTCACGGTGCTGTACACATTATTAGAAATGGGTTAATCAAGATGTGAGAGTTAGCCAATAAGAGGCTACCGATAACAGGCCAGGCAGTGTTTAAAAGAATACAGATTCCATGTAATTATTTTGGGTAAAGCTAGCCGGTGGCCAGGAGCTGAGCGGCGGGAAGCAGCCTGCAGCTCCTTCTATACAGGTTTGATTCCCAGCATGGATGTGGTGGCTCTGTAAATCAAGTCTCAGGGGACCTGATGCCCTCTTCTGACCTCTATGAATACCAGGTACACATATGGTACATAAACATACATGCAGGTAAAACATTCATACACATAAAAAAAATTAAATTGAAAACAAATTGAAAAGTTAAAAATAATTACATGTAGCAAGTATGTTCTAAGTACTATTTGTTGAATTCAAATCAATATATCTATTGAAATGTACATGTTTAGTACTCACTCACAGGTGGTTTTTAAACATAAAGCAAAGAAAGCCAGCCTACAAACCATAATCCCAGAGAACTTAGACAACAATGCAGACACTAAGAGAGACTTACACAGATATAATCTACTTGGGAAGTAGAAAGTAGAAAAAGACAAGATCTCTTGAGTAAATTGGGAGCATGGGGACCTTGGGGAAGGATTGAAGGGGGGAGAGGAAAGGCAGGGAGGGGAGCAGAGAAAAATGTAGAGCTCAATAAATATCAATAAAATTAAAAAAAACAAAAATAAATAAACAAAAAAAGAAACATACATGTTTAGCTGGCTTAATACCTCATGAATTTAATAAATATAGTCTTTATATTAAAGAGTTTTTACACATTATTGTTCTAAACAAACATTTTGCATTTTCAAATTTCATAATTTTTAAAAAAACAATTCTACTTTTCAGTAAGTACTTCACTGCAGGTCACATGTTTCTGTCCTAATATACAAATCTAAGGAAGTCAGTCAGAACAGTTTACCTGGTTGAGCAAGTACAGAATCTTTGTCAAAATATGCAAGCATCTTCTTGGATTGATGGGGGTTTCATTGAATATGCGTGCCTACAGAAATATGCAAAACAGGATGCTGTAGTGTATTTTCTATCAGAGAGGACAGGGCAAATCACCTTTAATAACATTACCAACATTTTAGTACACTCTCCAAATGTCAGTTGTCTATGCTCTCAAGTTATGATGGTATACAATAAATTACTGGATGTGACCCAAACTTTCCTATCTATACTTTCTTATTCCCTTGGGTTGACTTCAACTTTAAAGACTCTACCAGAACCTCTGTCTGCATATGAACATCAAGAGCTTAATATCTGTAAAGTCTTCCAATAACCTCTCACCACTATTTCTTCTAGTATTTCATTAAAATCCCCCAGAACAACAATCTGCATGTCTATATATTTCTATAGTTCTAGACCGTCCTTTTCCCTAAATCTATCCTTTGCACCCGGTTACACTCCACTACTTTTAATATATAAATGAAAAATGAATTTCTTTCTTTGATCAAATATAGGGAAGAGTGACCTTTAGCCTGTCACATGGTTCTACGCTCCTTCATTCTCATTTGGGGTGTCCTGATTTTAGTACCTCAGAATTTCGTTGCCCATCTATCTCAAACAGAATTGACAAGAGACTGAATACATCCATGCCATACCTCCTGCAAGACAGCACTCTTCTCCAAATGCTGGAAAGGATTGGAACCACTTCCTATAGTATAAGAAAAAGAGAAGGTCTTCAGTAGCTGTCCTACAAAGACTTTTCTAGAGAAGGATATTGCATGCTTGGAAAATTTCACCTAAACAGGATGATCCCTTGGAAGTCACAAGGACAACTATTACAAATATGCAATTAAGTTGGATGAAGTAATTTGGATTCTGGTACAAATTCTATCGTTGTCATAGCTGAGAGCTTGGACTTCTCTGGATACAGGAACCCTGTCCAAAATGAGTGCCTTCCTTCCCTGCTTCCCCCTCCCCCATTCCCATGGATGTCAACAAATGTGTCGTTTCCACCACCACCAAGAGTAATGAGATGACAGGACACTATGGATTTCCCTAAAAGAAAAAAACAAGCCCTATTTTATGTGTTTCACACATTTACTGAAGCAGAGAATCACAAATGTAAAGAGGCCATGCAGGATGAGGCCATGAAGGTCCACTAACCCAACCTTCCACCACACTTGTGAGAGCAGCTATCACTGAAGAGCTGAAGATTTTTATTTTTTTTTTGAAGAGGCTTGGCATCTTCCCCACTTGCACTGCACCACAGACAGGTATCAACACGCAAGTCACTTCTGGATGCCTGCGCATTCAATGAGCTGTGTCCCACCGGGCAGTCTTAACCCCTGGGAACAGGAGAATCAAGGCCCTTCAGAGTCCATAAACACGCAACCCTGGCCCGGTCGACCCCAGCCCCAAAAACAAGGGGTGCTCGCCCTGGGGGCCTAACCCCACCAGCAACCCCAGGCCACCGAGACAAGCGCGCGCACTTCCTCGCCCCCCGACAGGGCCCCGCGGAGGGCCGGCTAAGAGGGGCTCGGCCGGGGGGCGGGTGCGGGGGGCGGGGACGCGCCGGGGCGGAGCCGCCAAGCGCTCAAGGCGACACCCGGGGCCGGGAGCGCTCGGCCCGAGGGGAGGCCCCGGCGCCGGGGGAGGGGCTTCGGGCAGACCCCGCCACTGCGGCCAGGAGCAGGTGGCTGCGGGCGAGGGAAAGGGGACCCCTGCGCTTGAGGGTGGGCGTGCGGAGCGCCGCGCGTACCAGACTCCTCGTCCTTCTTGTCGAATTTTTTAATCATCTTGGACGGCTTCCCAGCGCCCAGACCCACCGCAACCTTTTCAGGCGCCCCAGCCGTTGAGCGGAAGACGCTGCAGGAAGGCCGGCCCCGTGGTCTCACACCGGTTGGGCCGGCGGACCGTCACTCGGGGCCAAGGCCCGCCCCCCTCGGGCGGCTGTGGCCGCCCTCGCCCCCTAGGGACGCAGGCACGCCCTCCGCTCCGCCCACTGCCGCACGGGGGCGTGGCCAGGCGCTGCCCAGAGGCTTGCCCCGCCCCATTTGCCAAGCTGTGTCACCCTGGTCTGAGGCAGCAAGTGTGGAACTTTATTTGGTTGGTGACATCTCTAGGCCTTCTCAGTTCTTGGAGAGCCAGGAAGGGGACTTGAAGGATTCGTCTTCACTTAACGACAGCGGCACTTTTGATAACCCCTAAATGACAACGGCATTTTTGATAACCCACTGCTGGGCTCTTCCATAGCGAAAGACGCTATCCCCTGGCACACATCTGGTGGGCTTCTCTTCCAGGAGCTTTGAAAATGTCAGTGGTTCCCAAAGGACTTGCGAAGTTGGTGGCTCACCCTTTGACTTCTTCGAAACTATGACAAAGCACAGGACACGTTGAATGGACATCTCTGAAAGCACTAGAAGGATACTTAAAAGGAAGGCGAGATGTGATCCGTTTGGAGGGACCAGAAAGTGGGTCTTAACTCTTACCGAGAAGGTAGATTTGGGGACTGTCATTCCTGACCTCTTATATAATTCTGGATTCCTTCTTCACCAGAACCCACTGCCAGTGTAGTCTTCGTAGCTCTCGCCCTTTTCAAGTGATTCAGTCTGCAGCCGTACTCATTAACACTAGAGTAATTTAAGGGACAAACTCATCGCCTACCTCAGTGCTTTCCCAAAACATTTTCTCATATTCGTCCTCGACTCGGAGTATGAATAACACACTTTTCCTACCTTTGACATGGATGGCGTCACATTTCTATATGGCCTTTCCGGCTTCACTGGTTCTTAGGGCGTTGTCTATTGATGCGATCTTAAGTGCTGTCAGCGATTCAGGGCGCGGTTTGCTTCTTGGGCAACCTCCTAACCAGCCTTCACAGCTTCTACCCAGATGGATCTCGAAATCTCTCTCTCTCTCTCTCTCTCTCTCTCTCTCTCTCTCTCTCTCTCTCTCTCACACACACACACACACACACACACACACACACACACACAAATATCGTGGGACATCATTTGGAGGACAGAGGAGATGTTAGCTTGGAAATGAAGCCGCTACTAAAACACCCTGGCTGATAGGTTATTGTTGAAGAAATGCGCCATAAACTGGCCGTTCAGGTACAAAAGTAAATTAAATAACCACTCCTTAGTGTCACTAGTGTCGGCAGACCGACAAACTACTTTATGCATGTATCTAGCTCATCCTGTTAAGGACAGGGCTCTGGCAAAATTAGAGAAAGTCTTATCTAGGTTGAATTACAAATTTTAAAGAAAAATTTCATGCTAGCCATGGTTGGCAAGTCCCAGGACAGCCAGGGCTACACAGATAAACCTTGTTTCAGAAAACCAAAAAGGAAAAAAAAAATTCCCCACCGTATACAGACTAAGCTGAATAACGTGCCTAATCCGGATTCAGTTCCCAGCACCCACACGGTAGTTCACAACTATCAGTAACTCTAGCTTCTGGGGATCTGAGGCACTCTCTTCTGATCTCTGTGGGCACCAAACACACATGTGGTATATGGCATATAAACAAAACACTCCTATATAAAATAAAATAAATAAATCTTTAAGTACTATGCTAATGATTATAGCTGCCTTCTGTTTATTAAATCTAATCCATACTCATCAGGTAGGCTTTCTCATGGAAGAAATAGAAGTTTCCTTTTCTATATACTGGGACTGAAAATAAACAGGCCTTGGAGAAAGAGAGCCCTGTTGTGGGATAATCTTTTTGTACACTGTGAAGCTATGTCTCTGACAAGGCACCTTCTGATTGGTTTAATAAAGAGCCAAACAACCAATAGCTAGGCAGGAGAGGATATGCAGGACTTCTGGAAAGAGAGAGGAACTTGGGAAGAATCCGAAGCATGCTAGAGATGAAAGCAGTGAGATGCAGAGTATGAAAGAGAGGTAATGAGCCATGTGGCTGAATACAGACTAATATAAGTGGGTTAAATTATAAGAGCTAGTTGGGAACATACCCAAGCTAAGGCCAAGCTTTCATAATTAATAGTAAGTCTACGTGTCTTATTACTAATGGGGGATGGCGGTCCAAAGTAAGTCTGACAAGAAAAACCGGCTATAGAGATCCTCTTCTCCCTTGGACCATAGCTGGGAGTTAGGTAAGGACAGGGTCATGAAACCTGGCTATTCCCAAGGACAGGTAAATGCGAAGGCATGTAGAAGAGTGAAGAAACTGAGGCTGGGCTCTTTTAAGCAAGATGGACCACTCTGCTTCTTCAGCTCTTTTGGACATTGATCCATTTTTCTTTCCCCTCACCATAGATTGGTTTTGGTTGTATATGGGGAACCAAGGAGAAGCCTTGTAGGGATAGAACGAAAGAGGTGGCAAATTAGTTTTGGAGGAACAGAGAAGATTAAAGGAGCCAATGAAAAGATAGTAAAATACAACCCTTAAGAAATGATTGTCTTATGCTAACGCTCTGGCTGCATGGCTAACACTCATCAGTTGCATGTCTAGTATACAGTTGTGTACTTGACACTCTGAAACCTTTCGGTGAGGTGCAACAACTACATAATGGAGAAAAATCTAAGCCCATGTGTATATAATATACAAGGCCCTTCTTAGTCTAGACTGTCTTTACCTTTGGAGTTTAATAAGAGTCTAGCACAGAAGCCCCCAATGGGTGTTATTAAATGAGAGACAATATATGAGCATTCTTACTATATTTTCTTCTATAATCCTTGCCCCAACCCACTTCCACCCTATTCTAGCCCCTATCTCAAAGAGACTTTGTGGGCCTCTGAGACTCACATACCTTTTGCTGTTGTTAAGACAGGGTCTCACTATGTAGCTCAGGCTGTGCTGGAACTCCCTATGTAGACCAGGCTGGCTCAAACTCATGCAGTCTGCCTGCCTGTCTCTTGAGTACTGGGATTAGAAGCATGAGCAACTGTGTCATCCTTGTGACATACTTAGACTTTGGCCCTTTAAAGCAATTTTCCAGAAAGTACGATCTATACACATCTTGGAGGCTTTAGGTTGTACACAGATTAACATTTTAAGCTATATGGACCTAAGTTTCAAAACCATGTTGTCAGCGATTATAGTATTTAGTTTAAGAGGTTTTTTTTTGTTTGTTTTGTTGGTTTTTTGTTTGTTTGTTTTCTTTTTTTTATTTGTTTGTTGTTTTTTTTTTTTGAGACAGAGTTTCTCAGGAGCTATGGAGCCTGTTCTGTAACTCTCTCTGTAGACCAGGCTGACCTCAAACTCATAGAGATCTGCCTGCCTCTGCCTCCCAAGTGCTGGGATTAAAGGCATGCATCATTATGATAAAGACTATGAAAGTGGTAGATGATATAGTTCAGGAAACCCTATAACTTCTGAACCTTCTCAAAATTTGAGTATCTTTTTTTTTGTTTGTTTTGTTTTGTTTTGTTTTTTCGAAACAGGGTTTCTCTGTGGTTTTGGAGCCTGTCCTGGAACTAGCTCTTGTAGACCAGGCTGGTCTTGAACTCACAGAGATCCGCCTGCCTCTGCATCCCAAGTGCTTTCTTCTACAAGGAAAAGTCATGTTTGGACCCATCACAAAAGATGGGTGCCTGCTCAAGCAACTCTCTCAGCCCAGCAGATTCTCTCTCCAACCCACATATTGGTCTAGTAGAGCATAGTGCAGAGGGAGGAGAGCTCACAGTCTAGCAGAGCACAGTGAGGAGGGAGGAGAGCTCACAGTCTAGCAGAGCACAGTGAGGAGGGAGGAGAGCTCACAGTCTAGCAGAGCACAGTGAGGAGGGAGGAAAGCTCACAGTCTAGTAGAGCACAGTGCTGAGGGAGGAGAGACCACAGTCTAGTAGAGCATGGTGCAGAGGGAGGAGAGCCCACAGTCTAGTAGAGCACAGTGAGGAGGGAGGAGAGCTCACAGTCTAGTAGAGCATAGTGCAGAGGGAGGAGAGCCCACAGTCTAGTAGAGCACAGTGAGGAGGGAGGAGAGCTCACAGTCTAGTAGAACACAGTGCTGAGGGAGGAGAGCTCACAGTCTAGTAGAGCACAGTGAGGAGGGAGGAGAGCTCACAGTCTAGTAGAACACAGTGAGGAGGGAGGAGAACTTACCGTCTTTCTTCACCTCTACTTGGGAGGCTGGAGGAAAGATGAGATCAGGATACATTTTCTTCTGTCTCCTCAAAGCATACATTTTGGAATACTTTCCTTCAGTCTTGAAATCATTGTCAGTGGAAAACCTTAACCAACAAAAGTGCACTTGGTTGATCCAGGGCTGTAGGCAAATGGCCAGTCACCTAAAAGTCAAGTTAACTACATCCTCAGAGATTGCATGCAAGAAAGGACAATGACCAGAGGGTTAGTGTGGTTGGCTTAAAAAAAAATGGCGGGATTAGGATACTGGACACACTATAACCTTTCAGCTAATTCCAGAATCCCCTGTCTTTTCAATGTTAGTTAAAATCTCTTCCTATGAATAGTTTCAAATAAAAGCTTCTTATGCCTGTTTTTAAAAAATGTTAATGTATGTGCATACATCTGTGCATACGTGTGCATATGTGTGCATGCAAGTGTGGAGGCCAGAGACATGTGTTGGTGTCTTCCTCAATCTCTCCTTTAGTTTTTGAGACAGGGGCTCTCATTGAACCTGGAGTTTGCTAGACTGTCTGGCCAGGAAGCTCCAGAGATCCTCCTGTCTCCACTTCCCAGTGTGATGAGTTTGCACCAAAGTTAGTCCCCAAACGAGTGCGGTAAGCACTTTCCTGAGCCAGCTCCCAGCCTTCAAAAACCTCCTTTTGCTGTGTCCTCATAGCATTTGTTCCTCTCATTCTTAACTTACACTTTGATTTTGCTGTCTCCTCCAAACGGAGACCTTAGAATATATTTATACATTTTCCTTCAGTTTTGAAATTACCGTCAGTGGAAAACATTAGTTTTGCTTTGCTGTGTTTCTTTCATTAACATATAAGTGATGTCATAGGTCATATTGTAGCCCTTTTTTTTTGCGTTTTTGTTTTTGTTTTTTTGGGTTTTTAAGACAGGGTTTCCTGTGTATCCCTGGCTGACCTGGAACTCACTCTGTTGATCACGCTGGCCTCAAACTCACAGAGATCTGCCTGCCTTTACCTCTGGAGTGCTGGGATTAAAGGTGTGCAGTACCACAACCCTGCTTTTTTTATTCATTTGTAGTGAAAAAAAAAATGTTTTCCATACAAATTTTGATCATGATTTTCCATTTCCCAATTCCTCCCAGATCCTCCTCATACAACTTCCTGTTCTCTCTCTCCAAAAAAAGAATTTAAAAATGAAAAGAAAATAAGAAACACAAAAACCCACAAAAATGAAAATCAAAACAAATAAGCAAAAGGCTAATGAAATGCTAAAACAAAGTACAATTAGATCAAAAGTCCACAAAAAAAAATACCATTGGGATTGTTGTATTGTGTTGGCCAACTACTCCTGGGCACGGGGCCTGTCCTGAAATGTGGCATAGGGAGACTCCATTGGAGAAAACCAGTGTTCTTTTTGCCAGTGTGTAGTTACTGCAGATAGTGTCTTGGTTAAGGGTAGGATACCATGTTCACTTTCAGTGCTGAGAACTTTCTGTCTCAACCTGGTCAGGTCTTGTACCAGTTGCCACAGTCGCTGTGAGTTCCTATGTGTCTTGGTCCTACTGCATCTCCGCTACCTGATGGTCGGCCCTGCTGCTGAAGACAACACTTAACTCACAGAACATGAAGACTGTCTTACGTGCTTTGACATCTTCTTTACAACCAAAATTACACGAGGAAGCGCCACTGCATCCTCTTCCAGTCGACCTCATCCTCAATCTCCTTGGGCTCCCATTTGGGTTTGCTAAGTGACACAGCAATACAACCAAGGGAAAGAGAAGAAGAAAACAAACACAACAAGAGCTAGAATTTCACCTAAACCACTGCTGTCCCTTGGAGGCGGGGTCGCCTGTCTGTTTCACAGAGAAGATTGGCTTCAGATCTGGTCTTAACTTCTTTTTCTGAGGCATCGTGGGGAGGCAGAAGTCCTTGGTGGATTTGAGCTGATGGTGAGTTTCCTGAGGGGGGGAGAAAAGAGTAAAGGAGGAAGGAAGCTGAACCCATGGAAGTTGACAAACTGAGCTGGCTTCCTAGACTAGATCACAATGGCCCAGCCTAGCAGAGGGACAGGTGGGAACTCAGCAACCACAGTGAGAGGAGTGGAGACACTGGAGATTCGTTGTTAGGTAACGTTCCTAAAGCTTGGTCGGTTTCATGAGTAATCTGCTGAACTCCTTAGTTATGGGCTCCCGAAAGTGAACGGCCGAGGAAGCTCCCTGGGTTTGGGGAAAGAGTTTATGCAGTCGCATTGTGTCTTGCTCTAAGTAACCGCATGTTGTGTGAAACAGTAGTGGTGCTGTGCTGTTCCTCGGCTGCATTTGGCTTCATTTTGAGGGCAGATGCAGAGAAGGAGGATTCTGTATTTCGTAGCACACATAGGAAGCATCTCCCATTCAGCACCAACCCCGAGGCACACTGGCAAGTAACTTACTCCTAAACTGATAGGTAAAGCCATATCAGAAAAACCCGAGACCGTACTGGACACTCCAAACCAGTGGCTCGCTCCTGAACTCCATAAAGAGGAACTCACCTAGAAGTCACCTAATACTGTGCTGGCAGCAGCCCCAGAGACTGGCCATGTGACCAGTGTGTGTGCGCCAAAGGACTGGCAAGTGGAGAACTCATGGCTGCCCCTGAGGCTCCGGCTCAGCTTAGTCTCCACCTCTTGGCAAAGCTGATTTTTTTTTTTTTTTTTTTTTTTTTTTTTTTTTTTGCCCATCCACCCATTCCTTCATCCATCCATCCAGACTCCATGTTCATGGCCCTGTGCCTCCGCAGCTCAGCTGGACCCTGCAGCACTGCCACTTAGCTCTGTGCTTCCGGGAGCTTTCCAACTGGGTTCTTCTCCACGTGGATTGCTAATCTGATCTAAGCACCTGTTGTAATTCATTTGCATCCGCACTAACCCTGCCTCTGCCTCCAGTAAAGTCTCTGCAGACCCTATGACCCTTCTCGAGCCATTCTGAAACCTTCATATCTGTAGCTGGATAAAGGGATAGACAGATTCACTGTGTGACGTGTAATGTGTACGAAACTGAGAGGTTTTTTTTCTTTTCTTTTCTTTTTTTTTTTTTTTTTTTTTTTTTTTTGATTTTTCGAGACAGGGTTTCTCCGTAGCTTTTGGTTCCTGTCCTGGAGGTTTTTTTTCATAGTTAAGATTGTAATGAAATGATCTGTGTTTGCCGGCAGCCAACTATCGAAGGAAATCAGGACCGCTTGGCAAATTGCAGCCAACCAAAGAAAGCAAGTTGCCTGTGAGTTTATCGCTATTCAATGAATTCTGACATTGGGTAAGGACACAGATGTGCCTGTCTGTGTTTCTGACACAGCACACTTAGACCCCATCCGTGAATTGCTTGGGAGACCAAATATTTAGGAGTAAATTGGGAAACAGGCCCATGAACCACTACCTTCCTTCCTTAGAGATGGCTGCCTTATCTACTACATTCTTTTCTCTCTTGTGCAAAGGCCATAGAATGAAAGGTCTTATGAGGTAATAATTTTACCATTCCTAAAGGTCACATAATCAAAAACTTTCAGATTCTTAAAAGTCATCCAGCGGGACTGTCTGGCACTCGTATCCCATGCATAATCTCCCTGCCAAGTGATCCCATTGTCTGACACCTCAGCAGGCAAAGGCACTTGCTGTACAAGCCTGGAGACCCGAGTTCCAACCCCAGAGCTAAACCCACAGAGCTGGCTTCTGATTCCCACATATGATCTAATATAAGCATGCCTGTCCTGCCTCCTCCTCATGTAACACACACGCTAATCATCGTGACAATGATGTTAGTAATAAGCTTCCTCTTCAGTCAATCAATAGCCATCTCCTTGTAGCTTTCTCTGAAACAGTGCAAACAGAAGGAATCCAGTGCCTCTTGCATAGCATACTCAAAAATCGCGAGGACGTCATCCATGTTCCTCCCAGGCTCTGTTTCTCCCAAGAGAAGCATCGTCAGTAACTTGAACCATTCTTCACCTGACTCCGTTTGAATTGCCTTATTCTCCTGATTTAGCTCACTAGAGAAAAATCAATGTTTTCCTAACGCGAGGCTATGTAAAAAGGAGCCCCGCTTGCCGGGAGCAGCAATCACATGAGATTTCCCCAGCCCTAAGTATCTGATGAATAGTCCCGAGCTCTGCTGAGAGCCTCCCTGAATCACAGTGTAGAGCTCCCCTCACATGGTATTCCCTTTCCCTGATCTCCACAGCACCTGTCCCATTCTGTTGCCATCTGTGTGGTTGCTTCTTTGCCTGTGGTCTGCATAGATAAGCCATTAGACTTATACTTCTGCAAAGCAAAGCCCCTGGTGACTTATTTACCCTGGGACTCTTAGCCTTCATGGGGGCTGGCACATAGTAGGAGAGACGGAGTTACCAATGGACATACTGAACTCTTTCATCATTTTAAAATCTTTTTAAAAAATAGCTGGGGTTGCCACTGAACTATTGCTTTTTCGTTCTGAATGCCTTCTCTTGAAGCTGCTCCACTTGGAAGACAAGATTCTCTGTAAGTTAACAGGTGACTTAAGGAGACAGCAGAACCTAGAAACTAAGACACAGTTAATGACTCTGCCATTAAAAACAGCAGAACCTTAGTAGAATTGGACCTCAGAGGAAAAGAAAAGGGTGGTGAGACGGCTCATTGGTAAAGGTAGATAAAGGGGCTCAGCGCCAAGCCTAAGGGCTTCATTTCCATCCTCACAATTTACAAGATGAAAGAGAGAGCCTACCCTGCCTGCCAGGTTGTCCTCTGACCTCCACATGCCACTCCTTCTCCTCTCAAAAGTAAAGGCTTTCTTCTTTTCATTTTTAAGATTTAAATGCAAATAAAATAAGCAGGAACTGAAAGTTATTTAGGATCCAAGATGGCACTAGTGGAGAGTTACCGGTTATCTTAACTATGACATATTAATATGTCCCTTCTGTCTTCCTGTCTGTCTCTTCCCCCTCCTCTTCCCTTCCCCTTCTCAAACTCTGAAACTTCTATAGCCCTTGTGTAGTCTACATATATACGTATGTAGAGATAGATACAAGGGATACAATCTATATAATTATATCGATCTTTCTTCCTTCACCATAACTTCAAACAAACACATCTCTGGCCCTTTCGCTACACTCCTCCCCTTGGTTTGATTTACGGCATCACCCTGTGTGCCCTTTCGAGTTCCATTCCCATTGCCTTAATCAGTTCATCTCCTAATACAGGTGCTTAGAAATGAAAATCTCTGATTAACTCGGGGATTTGGTGGTTAGTACATTGATTGGTTTAATTTGGGTTTGTTTGGGTTTCGAGGCAACAGTCTGCACCTCAGATAAGTTACCAGCCTAGGAATTTTGTTTCTGTGGCTCTTTTATCCATACCTGGTCCATACTAGGGATAGAGAGAGTCATATTGTGCAAAACCATGCTCCTTGGGCATTCTCATAGAAGACAGTGCTGGGGCCAGAGGCACTTAGAAGGGGCTGAGAGCAACCACGGTTGATGTGAGTGTTCATCTGCTTGCGTACTGGAAGCTACACTGTGCCTGGACATAGTAAAGACTGCTTTTCTTGCGTGTAACCCTAGGTCTCCAAAAGCTGGGGAGGGACGTACAGCAGGAACAGAGCCACTAGAGACAGCATGCTCTCCAGCCTTCTGAGGCAGAGCCTTGACACTGTCCACTGATACAATTCCCCTAGTACTGCTTGTTGGTGAGCACGACCAGGCCTGCCCCTGACCTCGGGGTCTCACTGGGGGGGGGGGGGGGGTGCAGCTTTGGAAAGAAAGCTCGTTGCGCACTCAGGTTACATGTCTGCTTTGTTCCCTTCTCTGTGCTAAAGAGAGCAACCCTGGCCCACCTTTGTCCCTTACTCAGAAACACATTACACCCACTACCACAATAAGCACTGACGTTACTGTCAAAGGGCACAAAGGCTGAGACCCGAGGGACCGCAGACAATGAACTCATGAGTTCTTTTTCAGTATACACCACTGCGTTTTGGCATCGCTCACTACCACCCATGTAGTGGCGACAGAAGTCCTTACTCCCGGCTCACATTTTGCTATAAGGATAGGTCTCTTTGGGCTCTCCCGTTCCCAGACTTGCATCTCTGTTAGCTTCTTTCCTTTGTACTTTTACTTATTTAATTTCTTCCTGTTAGGCTGGGGCTGCTTTCCAGGCTGTCACCATTTTCCTTAGCTCCTGGATCCCAAATACTCTTAAATGAATTGTCTTCACTTCCTCTGCTATTTTGAATTTAGTTCAAATTCTCAGTGCTGCTCATATCGACTATTAAGGCAGCATCAGAAGTAATCTTTTTGACTTTTGTCTTTTCTGTAACTAATGCACCTTCCTTCAGCCTGCAAATGCTCTTTCTAATACACAAACTTGATTACACCCTTTTTTATCGCCTGCCACTTTCTCTTTCAGACCTCCATGAAAGTGCCTCCCTTCCGTATGTCTCCAAGCCTGCCCAAGTCCCTATTGGAACAGTCTCCTATTCTTTTGTAGTGAGTCACTTCCACAATTACTCCCTTCTCCCCAACATGGAGATCTTCTCCAGTCTACATAATTTCTATATCTTAAGTATTCTTAGATTATTCACATATCCTGGTACAGTAGAATTGCTGTAATTTATGTATGTCGTTTTTTGGCCTATTGGATTCCAAGGTTCTTCAAGATAGAACTTGTTCTATGATCACGCCATAGTCTTGTTCTAGCTTTTATTTTACTGAATATGTTCAGCATATGTTCAGCGTGTTGCTTTGTTTTGAGACAGCAGGGTTGTGCTATGTAGCCCATGTAGACTCACAGCTATTCTGATTTCAGGGAATGTGTGGCCAGGCACAAGAAGGAGGTAGGCATCTTGGTAACCCTTCTCTAGGTTAAATTGGCTTTCTCCATGTTTCCTCTCATCCCTGCCTCCCTCTGGTCCATACAGAGGCTGCCAGGAGACTTTCTTGGGCACCATTACCTTGAACTGAAACTCCGGGGGAAAGTATTTTGGAGCTCCTTCCTGTTCCTGCTGCCTGACAGAGCAGGGAGGTGGGTTGTTGGTCATGAGCAGTAAGGTCATATCCTGATCGTACTCAGTCACGTTTACCATGAAACTGTTGATTTTCTTCCTTTGAGCCAGGAATCTTTGCAGCTTAGTGGGCTTCAAAGGCTCATAGTATTTGGCCTGAGTAGAGAGAAAGGTTTCCAGACAGACAAAGGGATTAGATCAAGGGAGGACTAAGGCATCAGTTGGCCAATTTTTCCTCACTCTGCAGGGTAGGCTGAGAGGCTGAGCAGGGCCTGAACCAACCTGCCTTTAACTTTGTTGATTTCAAACTTTTAGAAGCTCTCTGTCACAGCCTCCCCTTAAAACTGCAAATAAACTAGGAGCCTGGGGAAATGAACCAGAAGGGTTTCCATAGTAACAGAACAAGATGATTAAAGTCACACACACAAAAAAAAGATAGCATCTAGCCTTAGTGGCACAAATAGAAGTTGTTTGTGGCTCAGCCTGCTTGGCCTTTCTCCACCTGCCTCTGAGGTGGAGGGGCACCCCGGAAGCTCAGCTCAGCTCAGCTCTTCTCTTATTTCCACCAACATCTGTCTCCAGGCACGGGTATTATTAACAAGCTGTAGAGGGGTTAGAAGGCAAAGACAGTCACAAAGCACAGTGAGTCACTGCTGGTGTGCGCACCAGCACCACGTAGCTTGCTTTTCTCTGAATAGGAAGACTAGAGCGGAGGGGAGGGAGGAAGCATGGGTTACACGTATTTTCCCTGATCGAATTTTCTCTACTGAAGAATAAAATGAGCAGGGACCACTTCCTCCCTGAGTCTCCCCTCCCACCATGTATCCCCAAAACCGCTCCTGATTCCCCATCCTGGAAACCAGGGGGATACTTGGAGGTATTAGGGTTACTCTGTAGTTGGAGTTCTGGACCCGTTGTTGAAATTCACCCTCAGAGGTCTTGCGGGGATGCTTTGCCACCTACCATATTTGGATGGACTGTGTAGTATCTGAGGTTCTTAAGGACAAATTTTGATTGCCCAGTTGTATCATATATCTGTAGACAAGAAACAGAATTAGTGATCTCAAGCCACACCTCTCCTCTCTGTCTCTCTCTCTCTCTCTGTGCACGTGTGTGTGTTTGTATGTGTGTGTGTGCTGGTAGAGGCCAGACATCAGTTGTCTTTCTCCCCACCTTATATTCTGAGACAGTGTTTCTGAACCCCGAGCTTACTATATCAGCTAGACGGACTGGCAAGCAAGTCCCAGGAATCTTGTCTCTGGCCCTTCCCCCCAAATACTAGAGTTATGGGCCCACACTGCCACATTAAAAAAAAAAAATTCTTTCTTTTTTATTAAGACTAGGATTCATGCATCCCAAGCTAACTTCTGATCCTCCTGCCTCCACCTCTTAAGTGTGTATTCCAGGCTTCTGCCATCATGCCTGGTCTATCCGGTACTGGGCTAACCAAGGGCTTTGCCTATGCCAGGCAAGCAGTCAACCAGCCCTGACCTGGGGATTCAGCCTCAGGTCCTTCACACATGCATTGTGAACACTTTCCCACTGAGCGTTCTGCCTGTGCCCGAGTCACACTCACTAAACAGCATGACCTCATCTCGTTCTCACTGGGAGGGTCTTTTTCCAGACCCTAAATGAGGAGACCCTTTTGCCTGTGTTGTATTCTGGGGGTTTTGTAACAAGGTCTACAGCCAGGAGAGCAAGATTCTTGAAATCCTGGGATTTAGGAAGAAGTTTGTAGATGATAATGTGGACCTGCCGTTGGAAGCTAACTCAGTCACGAAAAGTGCTTGCCACGTGAGCAAGAGATCCACAGCAACCTCATAAAAAGTCATGCGTCGTGACACATGATTGGAATCCCAGCTCTGAGGAGGCAAATACAGGGAGAGCCCTGGCACTGCTTGGCTGGTCAGCTTAGCCTGAGCAGCAAAGCCGGAAACGGGTGAAAGACTCGGTCTCAAAAAATAAGGTGAGGGGGTCCCAGGGAGCAAAACCTGAGTGTGACTTCTTGTCTTCATGTGCGCATATACACACATGAACTATCAACTCCCATAGACCCTCACACACAAGTACACACACACACACGTATCCTCAGCCCCCATAGACCCCCTCACACACATGTACACACACACACACGTACATGTACCCTACACATGAGCACACGCCTACACATGCACAATGCCACATAGGCTGTAGAGTAGCAGACACGTGGAATCACACCTTTCCCCTCAATTGATGCTGACCCAGAGGCTAACCTTTTTTTTTAATATTTATTTATTATTATGTTTACAATATTCTGTCTGTGTGTATGTCTGCAGGCCAGAAGAAGACATCAGACATCATTACAGATGGTTGTGAGCCACCATGTGGTTGCCGGGAATTGAACTCAGGACCTTTGGAAGAGCAGGCAATGCTCTTAACCACTGAGCCATCTCTCCAGCCCCCAGAGGCTAACCTTTAAGGAGAAAACCAGCTACAAAGGACAGCAACCTAAGCAGTGCCAACTCTAAGGGCCTCCAGGGGCAACTCTGCCAACTGAGCTGGGAACTGACTCCCCTTAGAAGGGGAAAGAGAGAGCGTTTTGCATTTCTGAATATCTCTGCAAAATAGAATTCTTTTAAAGTTGTTGAAAAATAGCTAAATTTTGATGTCACTTCTCTGTGTAGTACAAAACGTCATTGTATTGGTAGAAGAGTTGCTATTCAGACCGTGAGAGTGCCCTGTCTGATAAAGTAAGGGCTCCTCCGCATGTGCTTAGCTGTGGGTTGTCTAAGTAGGAATGGAAAGAAGAAGAACCCAGGAGACGGAGACCATGAATTGCCTTCGTAGCACACTTAAAAATCAGAATACAAGCAGACAAGCATAATCCGAGGTTTGCATCATCTTTCGGAAGAGGCCATGCCCCCAAAGAGTTAAGGTGGGGTTCTGGGAAAAGGAGGCATGCGCTGAAAAGCGAATGAAGCTGGAGACATTAAAAATGGGGTAGAGCCATAGGCGGGAGAAATGCGCGGTACTGCAGGAGGAAGCTGCCAGCGGCTGTGGCCCTTGGGTTAGATGAGGACTGAAGGAACCCAGCCCCTTCTTTCAGAAAGGGCGAGGAGAAATACGGGACAAAACCCAAAGAGCTAATCGTTTTGTTTTTAGCTTTTGGAAAACTAACGTCTACTTGTTCAAAACGAAAGTTAAGGAAAACAAGTATATTGTGTGATATGAAGACCTTTTTCCCCCTTAAAGTTTTTTTTTTTTAATTAATTTTAGGGAGAAAAGTCTGTGAGGAAAACATTTTAACTTCTGGACTTTTCTGAGAAATGGCACCTCTGCTCCAAATCAGCCTGTAGCAGTTGACTAAACCTAGCAATTGGAATATGTTTTTAATTTTGTCAAGTTGACTTACATTATCGCTGGCGAAATAAAAGTTGGCTTCAAAAATTCACTTGAATATGATAATCTTGGGAAAGCAACCAGGACATCCAATGGAATTTTGCTAGAAGCTGTGACCTTGAAACCTGTCTGCACTGCTGGAGGGAGTGTAAACCTTGCAGCCACCACGGAAGTTCGTGTGGAAGTTTCTCAAAAGAATTAAAAAACAGGGAGACTGCAGCCATACTACCCCAAATCAACAGACCACAGAGAGCTATGCACAGCCATGCTTACTGCTGTGCCATTCACAATCACTAAGGGGTGAAAACCAAGCCAGATATCCAATAGATGAGTAGATAAAGACTTTGTGGTCTATATACATAATAGACTTTAAAGAAGAATGAAATTATGGCGGTTTCAGGAAAAGGGATGGGAGCCCATTATGTTAAGTAAAACAAGCCATACTCAGAAGGATAAATGCACTTGTTTTTCTTTCATATGCAAACACTAGATTTAAATGTGTTGGGCGGTGGAGGAAGAAACCATCAGTGGGAGGAAGAGATCTCAAGGTGGTGGGTGTTCTAGTTTCCTTTCTGTTGCTGCAATAAAAACACACTGACAAAAAGCAACTCGGGGAGGAAAGGATTTATTGGGCTTATACTTCCCAGATGCGGTCCGCTGTTGAGAGAAATGACCTGTAGCAGAAACCATGAAAGGATTGGTGGCGCACTCCCAGGCTTATGCTTAGTTAGCTTTCTAGCCCAGACTGTCTACCCAGGGAATGGTGCTGCCCACAGCGGACTAGGCCTTTCTACATCAATTAACAATCAAGAGAACCCCTTGCAGACCTGTCTCCAGGCCAGTTCGACCTGGGCGAATCCTCAGCTGAGACTCCCTTTAGATGACTCTGGGCTGTGTCGAGTTGACAGTAAAGCTAACTAGGACACTACTTATAGAATATAGGTGACACGAACACAGAAGAGGGTAATGTTTCAGACGGAAGAAATGGGTCAGCAAGAGGAAGAGAGAAAACATGGAAAGGGAAGTGGCAGGAAGGGGACAAATAGGAATCGATAATACTGACATACATAAGACACATCCAGTGCCATATTGAAATTTATTACTTTGCTAGGCTTAGTGGCATAGGCTTGTGGTCTTGGTTACTCCAGAGCAGAAGGATCTTGAGTTCAAGGCTACCCTGGGCAACTTTGTGAGACCCCTGTAGTTAAAATGTGGGTATGGAGATAGCTCTATGTGGAGTGAGTGGCTGGTACACATGAGGGGCTGGCTTTAGTCTCTGGTACTACAAAACAAGCAAACAAATACTTTATATATTAACTTAAAAAAATCAATCAAAAAATGTATATGTACTGTGTGCTAACCGATTATAAAAATAGCCTTGATGTCTATGTGAATTAGAATTTAATATGTCCTAAGGTAAGTTACTAATTTTTAGGTTTTGTGTCCTGATGTGTTGCTAATATGTCCTTGTTGTCCCCCTAAACTTCTCTGTTTCTTTTTCGTAAAATAAAATAAACTAACCTCACTCTGGATATAAATGTTTGCTTCTCTTTACTTTTCATGGGAAGTTTATAAAGCCCCTTGTAAGCAATCCCAAGGAAAATGGCATAGGACATATACTACTAACCCGGTTTTTCTTACCTCATCACCATCTGGATCTAATTTTTTCTCAAATTTAATAGAGACATTTGCCATCGGCTTTAATGCCCTGTTTTCTTGAAACCTAGAAAAAAAGAATAGAATATCCAGTTGCGTTGCTGACTCAAGAATCCAAACTCTGTGCATGTCTCCAGTCTCCCTCTGTTTAAGTTTGGGAGCTTAACTTGAGAGCTCATGAACTGGATAGAACTCATAACTAGCTTGCATGCTGAGGAAAAACTTAAGGTTAAAGGGTTAAGCAAATACGGTCTTCTCCAAGATAGGCTGGCATCCAGTAAGCTAACTTTCTTTTAATAGGAGTTTTGAATCACTCAGAGAAGTTGCTTTAGAAGAATGCCCAAGGAAACTCCTGCAGACAACTAGACTTCCCTACCTTAAAGACCCCCTACAGCAATTTTGAATACCTACCTACTTGCCCTCCATATTGAAATGGCCCTGACTTTGCCAGGAAAGGCCAATTGGCCAGTCATGAAAAAAAGAATATAGCTAGGGAATGTCACAACTCCATTTCTGATTCTTACTGGCTTGCTTGGATTAATGGTCAAATCATCTTCCTAACCACATCTAAAAATTTCTTTTCCTAGAACTAGGGTAGCAAAACCAGCCACCAATGGCAAACAGTTTGATGTACTATTATTTCCTTTATTTTTCCATCTTCTACTAGATACCAATTCCTTTTGAGGGAAAGGAGAAAGTTGCAATACCTAAGAAAGTATTTTGGAGTCCTTGACTCTTCTCTTCCCATACTGGTGACTGAACCTAGGGACTTGCACTTGCTAAACAAGGCTCCACCACCCGAGTTACATCCCTAGTCCTCCAAGTTCAGGCCAAAGGGTTTAAAAATATTCCCAAGTCTAACAGAAAGATACAAATACGTTTATTTTGACTAAGCTTCTTAAAGCTTGTGCTGTTTTGATGTATTCTCATTCTGTAAGTACACAACAATACTACTGCATCATTTTTAGTGTAGCAAATTTTCAAAATGATTGTGTGTGTATGTGTGTGTTTACAAAACAGCACAGACTCTCAGCTCCAGTCTTGAACTACCCTAAACGCTCTTCAATAGTGCAGCAGTTCCCACCCTGAACAGCCTGGTGCTTTCTTTTTGGCAAAAGTCTTTTGTTGCCGCATGAAACACAGATCCAACTCTGTTTTGTTTTGTTTCATTTTTCTGCAAACAGACGGTCAAGTCAAACACATTTAGTCAAGGTCCTGCTCTGTGACTCACGCCATCTAGAGAGCTTTGAGTGACAAAATTAGTGGAGATTGGTGTTTATGGCTTAGATGAGTAAACAAGATTACGTACTTGGTATATTTCTTTGGGCCCATGGCTGTTCACTGAGAACTGGACCAACTTGCAGCAAGAATTTACTGAGGTCTCAGCTTCTTTAAGTGATTCACGTTCTACGAGGATTCAAGTCAATAAAATTATTCTTTTCTTAGCACACACTGTGTAACCAGACCCAATCTTGATCCTGCGTGGGAAACAAGACTAATAAATGGGTTTGTAGATATGGGAGCTGAATAAGCATGATGAGCCTTGCCCTTGAGAAATTAAATTTATTTAACTAATGAGGGGAGAGGAAAGGAAGTAATTATTAAATCTGAAACAAGAAAAGAAAAATACACGCTAATACATTAGCAACTTCATCTCATAGAAGTCTCAATTTCACCTATAAAGTTAAATTATTAACATAATGATTTAAAGGTGACATTCTAATCTAGTAACAGTAGTGAGATTTAACCTCCGTAAGGATTCTAAATGAATTGAAATCATATGTAGACGAAGGGGGAAAATCTGCGGAGCTTCCAACTTTCCGTTTCCTTCTTTCAACGCATAGCCATCCTTATCTACAGCTAAGGGCTGAGAAACTGGCAAATGCGTGTGTGTGTGTGTGTGTGTGTGTGTGTGTGTGTGTGTGTGTAGGGTGGAGCTGCTATACCTTAAAAAAGATTTCTTTAGGTTTTAATTACTTATGAAGGGTGGGGCACATGAGTGTAGGTGTTGGATCCCCCTGGAGCCAGAGTTAAAGGCATTTGTGAGCCACTTGACATGAGTGCTGGGAACAAAATTCAGGTGCAGTGCAAGGGCAGCAAGCACTCACTCTTCATTGCCGAGCTATCTCTCCTGTTCCTGCTGTGTTTCTTAATACAGACTATTAGAGACACGAGATACAAGCTGAGGGGACCTGTCCTTTAGAGAAAGAAGAGGATAATGGGGCTTGGGAAGGAGGTCTTCTAAAGAATGTGGGACTTAAGAAGAGTCTTGTAAAGTCAGGCAGTGATGGCACACGCCTTTAATCCCAGCACTCGGGAGGCAGAGGCAGGTGGATCTCTGAGTTCGAGGCCAGCCTGGTCTACAAGAGCTAGTTCCAGGACAGGCTCCAAAGCTACAGAGAAACCCTGTCTCAAAAAACCAAAGAGAAGAAGAAGAAGAAGAAGAAGAAGAAGAAGAAGAAGAAGAAGAAGAAGAAGAAGAAGAAGAAGAGTTTACTAGGATGGCATATGAAGCACCAAACTGGAAGCCTAGTGGTTGCTGCTTTGAGCAGTAAGAAATCAAGGAAGTAACCAATAGGGCCCTTGAAAATTAAGTGGAATGTTGACAAGACTGGTAAGCCCAGGTCCTGCAAAAACCAAAGTTTGGAAAAATATTCCAAATCCATATTGGTAGGTTTTTTTTTCCCCCTTAGGGTTTTCGTCCAGTTTGCTTGTCTAAACAGAAATCCTTTAAAAAAAAAAAATTGTCCAGGCTGTGACTTGGACTGAATGAAGTCCTGAAAGCTCCATTCTTGGGAAGGGAGCTAATGAGTTCTTTATTCTTTTCTCATGTTTAGCATTTCTAGAATTGTCTGTCTAGTTTTGAGTATGTATTGAAATTGAAATAAAAAATTTACTATGAATGAGAAGTTGTATGTCTTGTATTGTTTGTGTGCAATCCAGGTTGAAGAGGAAGAATCACACAAATACAAAATTACGGTCAAGATGGAAAGATATATCTGGGCATGGTGGGACATACTCGTCCCAGCTACTCGGAAGACTGAAGGAGAAGAATGAAGGCATGAGAAGATGAGTTCAGGAGGTTGAGGTCATCACAGGCAGCATAGAAAGACTCTAACAGAGAAAGAAAAGAAAGGGCTGGAGAGATGGCTAGGCATTTAAGAGCACCAGAGGTTCCGGGTTCGATTCCCAGCACCCACATGGCAGCTCACAACCATCTGTAAATCCACTTCCAGGGGATCTGACACCTTCACACCAATGCACATAAAATAAAGTTAAATAAATCATAAAAAATTATTTTAAAAAAGAAAGACATATAAGAGGGAAGGGGAAGGAAGGGAGGAAGGGAGAAAGGGAGGGAGGGAGGGAGGGAGGAGAAAGAAAAGAGGGAGCAAAGAAAAAGGATCCAGCATACAATACCTTTAAGGACTTTAGGAAATCTCAGGAAGATATAATTCCTTAATAGGGAAACTTCCCATGTTGAGGGCTACAATTCCGTTCTGGATTCTGAAGGTGCTGAGGAATTGGTGATGGATTAGCAATCTAGAATGCTGAAGTACTCTGTTCTGAAGACAGAATGTAAGGGCCAAGGGCACACATTTAAAGAAAAAAAAATCCTATATGCTCTGCTCTTGTCTGTCTAACCCATTGCTCCTCTCCCTCCCACTGACCTGCCCAGCACCCCCTGATCTCTTCCTTAACCAACACTTTCATCCCATCTCTCAACACAGTAAGTCTGCCATATGCACAGGGAGTGTTTCTCTCATACTCCCCACCCCCCAGTCCCCCCCCACCTCCCCACCCCCACCTTAAGACACTCCTCCTAACCATTTGATGCTTCTCTAGGCTACTCCTCCGTCAGCCTCCTGCTCCAGGTCTGGAGGCCTTGTTTTTGGTGCACATAAGTATCTAGGTGTGTGTTTCTGACACACTGGTCTTGCTTCCCTCCAAAACACTCAGCTTCTTAAAGATGGAGGCACTCAAAGTTGGTTTATTTTAACATATGTGATAATACACCAAACACAGTCCTAGGTTCCTGAAACCAAACACAAATTCAGTGTGTTTCTCAAGCTTAAGGACAGCAATTAATCCAGAAAGAAACACAAGGAGAATGCAACAAAGTGTGATTTCCACATTTAGAGACAAGTTCGGGATGCCAAAGGGGCAATGAGGAAGAACACTTAATCCGAGGCAGAGGAAATGTCTCTGTGCTTTAAAAGCACCTGCTACTGTTCCAGAGGTTCTAAAGTTTGGGTCCTAACACCCATGTTGGATGGCTCACAACGACCTTTAACTAGGTTTGGAGAATCCGATGTTTTCTTCTGTCCTCTGTGGGCACTCACATGAAACACACTCACACATTTCAAACACACACTCTCACACACAAAACAAAAATTAAAAAATGCACATATATTTTTAAAGAGCCTAGTAGAGACTTAGAACTGACTTCTAAACTGAATTACTAAGCGAAGGGAAGGATTTGGGAAAGAGGGAACGCCACAACTAAAAACATTCGACTGGAACAAAGGACGACTTGTTCTGTCAGGGTCTGAGAGAGGCCCCCAAGGAAAGACCAGCAGCCACATATGCAATAAACAAGAGCTCTTTATTAATTCCGACATGTTGGGGTGGCACATGGTGACCCTGAGAGAAACCCACAGGCTCTTTCTAAACCGGGTTAGAGAAATTCTAGGCAGGAGAGATTAGTCTGGGGACGGATTGGTAGCTTTAAACAAAGAGTGCATGGGTTGCTGTAGGATCGGTTGGCTGCTCATGGTTGGGGCTTTTCAGCTGCTGGTGAGAGAAAGCTATCTCTAGTTCTCTTTAGCTTGCACAAGACTGTGGGGGCGCCCTCGAATTGATTGCTCCTGGATGGGGCTTTCCCAAGAACCGAAACTAAGTCCTGGTCCCTGGCGGGGGCCATTAGAAACCTGTCATGGCCCTGGTCTGACTCCCTGGCCCTCTCAGTTCAACAGTATTAAAATGACTGCAGAAGGTCTAGAGTTTAAAAGGAGAGGAAAGGAAGCAAGAGGTGAAGCTAGAAGAACACAGAATCTCAATTTTAAAGTGGAGTCACCTCTAGGAAGCTTGTCAGTTGTACTGAGCACGAGAAGTTATCAACAAGTCTTAGGGGAAAAGATACCTTAAACGCTAAGCCAGGCATGGTGGTGTACACCCTCAATCCGCACACTTGGGAAGTGGAGGCAGAAGGATGGGAAATTCAAGATCATCTCTGGTGGCATAGTGAGTTTGACACCAGCCTAGGCTACAGGATACCCTGTCTTAAAACAACAAGAACCACAAAGACAAAAGAGCACACGCGCACACACACAAAGATAAACTGAACAAAATAGAAAATATTTTGAAAATGGTGGCATTGAAAGTGATAACAGGAGATTGTAAGGCTAGAAAATGGAGAAGTGAAGATAAGGTGTGGTAGCATGTGGGGGGACGGGGACGACTGAGTGATCATAAGGGTCTGTTGCGGTTACAGATGTACGCCATTTACCCTTGGTCCTGGCCCCCGAAGGACTCAATCTCTTTGCTGAGAATTTGAAAGCTCGATAAAGAGACACAGCAATGAAAGATGATAGAATCTGTGCTGCTTGCTGGAGACCCCAGATCCAGCCTTTCCTGAAGCAACGGCTCTTCAGCTTTCCTTTCAAGTCTCTGAACTCTGCCAATATTCTTTCAAACAAACATTTTTGGCCTACATTAATCAGATTTCATTTCCATGATTTATAACAATAACAACCAGCATAAAATGCCCAAATGGACATTGTCACTAAAGCACATAGCGGTTGTGGGGAGAAGGAAAAGGCATCAGGATGGTAGGATGACCAGGATTGAGTAGCCATGGAAAATGAATACCATTATATTTTAGTCTTATTGGCTGAGGAAGTGGGGGTACGATTCTGCAAACTAAAGAATAATAGAGAACAAACCAATTGAGCCAATATGAGAAATATGTTAGTTTCGGTGAGTTTACTTGGGACAGGTAGGATGATTAGTAGGTGGCTTCAATGAGGAGCCTGAAGCTTGCGGTGTAGTCTAGTGGTAGGGTGCTTGATTAGCATGAAGGAGATTCCCCGGGTTTAGTCTCTAGAGTCAAAATAAGATAAATATAATACTTAAAAAGATGAATCCAGAGTTTAGACAGGTTTGATGCTACAGATTGGAAATTTCTTCCTCCAAGACAGGGTTTCTCTGTGCAGCCCTGGCTGCCCTGGAACTCCCTCTGCAGACCAGGCCAGACTTGAACTCAGAGATCTGCTTGCTTCTGTCTAATTTTGCTGGGATTAAAGGTGTGCGCCACCACTGCCTGGCTAAAG